ACTCTCTCTCTCTCTCTCTCTCTCTCTCTCTCTCTCTCTCTCTCTCAGAGTGTAGCAATAGATGTTCTACACCCTCAACGACACAATTCAGATCATTTAGAGAGCGGGCTGCGTCGACTATTGCATGCCAAACAAACAATGAAAACGGACTTAAAGGCTTTTGGTAGACGAACACAATACTCGTTGTGTCTAATAAAGAGTAATGGCATTCATTTTGTTGCCTTTCCCAATACAAATAATATGATTAAGTTCTCTCAGTATCTATTATGTTCTCTCAGTATCGTTTATTCATGCTGTTCGGTTCTGTAAAAATTTATGACTGTGTGAATTCATAAATGTGTGCAAGGGTGTATGGCTAAGCGTTGTGGGATTGTCTTTACTCAAGGATGTACTGGAGAGAGAGAGAGAGACAAAGAGAGAGAGACAGAGAGAGACAGAGAGAGACAGAGAGAGAGAGAGAGAGAGAGAAAGAGGATTACTATAGGAGCTATGCGCTGCACGTGTTCTTTATATTATTGTACAGTGCATTGAGCACTTCTTTGTGGAAATGCGCTGTATACATGCAATTTATTATGATTATTATTTATTATTTATTTCATAAGTTACTGCCTTGAAGGTATAGACGTCAGGTTACCTCCTGACAATTCACCACAATGGGTGTAACACGAATAGTTCAAAAATAGTTTAAAATACTGAACGTCATTCGGGTATTGCTTTGTATGGGGTAAAAAGTTCATTTGAACACAGTGGGAGTCCATAGCAGTTAATTTAATGTCTGTCTCCCAAAAGGCTGTGAACCGAGAGGGTGGGGGTCTTTGGAAATTCCACAACCATCCTAAAAATGGCACATGTGTTGTTCGAATCGGAAGAGTTATTCTCCTCGCGTTACGGAATGAAGCTAACTAAAAAACAAACCAAAAAAAACAGCCCCAGTGCCTGGGCTCTTTTTCTTTTTTTTTGTTTTTGTAAGTGTTTCAAGGCACTCGCAACTGCATAAGGTCATATGAGCGCGCGGGACACGCAAAACATTTGTCAGTCGGTAGGAAATTTTGAATTTTGCCCGGGTGGCGGCCGAAGCCCACTCTCATCGATTTTAGACCACCAAGGCATCTTTAACGTGCGCAACTTGCACGTGGGACCTCCGAGATTTTTCGCCATTGTCCGAGAAGGCTAGGTGTAGATCTTACCTACCTGAAGATCAGGGGTGTGGCTCAAAGACAGCGGTAAGACGGAGCCAAGGAGTAGCAGTAGAAAGGCTGGAGAAAGAGTCAGGAGCCGAGAGGAGGGGGTAAAGGAGGTGAGGTGGTGGGGACAGAAAGTGGAGACGAACGTAGACGACAGCCCTCGGTCTCCTTTGGAGGTGTCTTTGGCCTTTGGCGCGAATTGTCAAAGCTGAAGACAGAATACCAAGTCATGTTTCTGGCCATAGAATACTGGCCCTTACCTTGAGCGCTTGAACAACAAGGAATTGGATGAGGGAAGTCCGAATTTCAGCCAAGTTTCGAATGGCCACCGAGAGTTGTGTATATTAAGTTGTCGGTGTAAAGGCAGGAGATGTGGGGAACGTTAATTTGGACCCCTATCCCCTTCCATGCTTAAAGGCTTCTTTCTTTCGCAGATGACCCCAATGAGGCTTCGGGAAATGTAAAAAAAAACCGGATTTACGTACTAGGTTAAGTAAGCTCTGAATGGGAAGGGTGTGTCGGGAAAGATAAAACGTATGCACAAAGTCTTGAGGTCCACGAAGTGGAAGTACTTCGTCAATCTTCAGACTTCAAAGGCAATCAATTCTACAAGACTATTCAAAAGGTACCAAAGGCAATGCATTGAGATCGTGACTTCTAAAG